AACCTGTAGTAGCTGCAGGTACACATGAAGGCAGATATACTGAGCTTTGAGGATGGAGCTGTTATTCTGCTGTTATATAATGTTTGCACCAGTTTTTTCACTTTTTTTAGCCCCACCAGCGGCATAATAACTCTGATGACAATGCTGTCTGTCGGCTGAGACACATCTGCACTCGGTGAACGTAACTAAAACACACTAAACTCACTAAACTCACATAAACACACTAATGACTATAATATCATGTCAGAATTATCAGTTGCTGAATTGTAAAGATACTGTTCAACACATTCATACCACCATAGGTTCAGTGTTCAGTACAATCTTTAATTGCCTGCATGATTATGTTATATGGGGGAAACTGCGTGCCTTCCAAGTCTCATCTGATTCCATTTATAGAGAGGCTGCATGCAGCAACAACAAAGGGCAGTGTTACAAATTCATCACTTCACTCCAGAGAAAAATTTCAGACAGAGTCAGAAGGGAAAGCTTTCAAAAATGGGCCACAGCCACTATGAACCATGTATGCAACATGATAACAGGAGGTGTGAATATATTAACAGGATCAGTGACTCTCATAAGAGTTCAATTTTGAGCTCCTCAAGACAAAGCAGGCTGAATTATGCAGCTTTTTATCGGCTATTAACAAGGCTGGTAAAAAAAAGAAAAAAAGAAGAAGGTCCCAGACATTCCTGTAATGCTTGTTTTCCTCTGACAGAGATGCAATTATGACAAAAATGTTCCACCGAGCGGTGAAATAAACTCATTCCAAATGACAGCCACTTGACCCCCTGAGGTCTGGCTCTTACGATGCACAGGGACTCATCTGATTGGACAGGAGTGGAATTGGCAGAAATGCTCCCAGGAGCAACTTTGACATTAATACATCACAGTGGGTCTTTAATTTACCTGACATGCGTTTCATGTCACACGTGCAAAGACTTGCATTATGGGTCACGTCAGAAGGAAAGACACAAAGTAGTTGTGTGCAGCATAATTGAAGTCAACTAAAAATCACACCACAAACCACGTGAACAATAAATGAGCAGGTCACTGCATAAACCTTTCAAAGTGAGCCCAGTGTTCCCATTGGGGCCATCAAATCTGCACTTGACAAGCCATAATGAAAAGAATGAAAATACTGATCTAAGTATGAGCTTAGACACAACAACTGATGGACAGATTTGTCTGTTGTCATATCAGTCAGCAGGCTACGTTCACACTGCAGGCGAAAGCGCATCAAATCCGATTTTATTGACCCTATGCGACCCATATCCGATCATGCTAGTGTGAACAGCACAAATTCGATCTGGGTCACTTTCGTATGTGGTACTGAATCCGATACATATCCGATGTTTTAGAAAGCGACTGCTGTTTGAGCGGTCATGTCGCATTAAATCCGTCTTTTATGTCACTGACACAAGACAGACGCCAATTATCAGCTCCGGAGAAGACATCACGAACGCTTCCTGGCCATCCAGTGTAGATGTCAGTGAAACTGTTGGGAAGACATCGTTGGAGAAACATGAACATTTTATTTGTACTGTATAATCTGCAGATTCTGACAGGAATCTGCAACTATCCTTTGAAGCACCGCTCCTCTAAAACAGCAATAAGGATAATTATTAGGTTATTTACATTATTATGTAAATAACAAAATAAATTAAAGCAAAAATTGGGAAACGTAAAGTCCGAAGTCTTTATATTAAGGGCCATCAGTCAAACAATATTGTTTGCTCTGGATCCAAACAGAGCGCGTTGTGTGTGACATCTTCTTTTGCGCATGCGGGCCGCTTTGAGCGTTCACACTAGAGCGCGTTTGCTGTCATATTTTATTTGTAGTGTGAACAAGCAGACAAAAAAATCGGATTTGATCAAAAAATCGGAATTGAGCATTAAGACCTGCAGTGTGAACGTAGCCTTAGTGACATATGAGCACAGCTTGGAGTTCTGACCCAAAAAGCTCCATTTTCCATCTCATTATATGAAAGAATCTTTATGGTCACGGTCTCAGAGTTAAATGCTATCTGAAAAACTCAAAGTGGACTGTCTCATGTCTTATCTTTAATGTGCCTCCCACATAGCTTCTCGACCTTAAAGTGCTGACTGATGAAGTGATGCTTTTAACAGCTTCCCCCACCTCTGCAAACAATTTCTAAACTGATTCTTGGTCAGGGAGCTTTGTTCAACCCTTCAAGTCCTGATCAGTCTTCTTTGTGAAAGCCACTGTGCCACCACCTTTGCTCTGTGAGGTCTGCAGAGAGTTACTGAAACCTAATTTCTTGAGTTCTGCCTGTCATTCAGTGTGATTTGTGGGACTTTATGTGAACAGGTGCATTGCATACACGTATCACAATCAAGCTCTAGATTTATCTCAAGAATAATTAAAGCAAACAGCATCACAGCAGATTAAATCTCTTGTCAAGTTGTGAATTTGCATAAACATTCAGTTTTTCATTATGGGGTTTTGGCTATTGAGTGTTTACAGAAGCAAGGCCATTGTTTCCCAGAGACAAAACGGTGAAGTGCCCACTCCGAGATGAGCTGCTGCCTCAAGTGGAGGAGTTCAAGTATCTCAGGGTCTTGTTCGTGAGCGGGGTAAGAGCAGAGCGGGAGACTGAAAGGCAAACTGGCGGACACTGCACTGCTCCGTTGTGGTAAATAGAAAGCTCAGCGTAAAGGTGAAGCTGTCGATTTACTGGTCGATCTACGTTTGCTACACTCAGCTATGGTATTGAGCTGTGGGCAGTGACCGAAAGAATACGATCAGAGGTTCTAGCAGCAGGACTGAGTTTCCTCTGGGGCTCAACCTCAGGGATGTGGTAGGAGCTCAGTCACAGCTGCTGTAGAGCCCCATGGCTTGGACCCCAATAAACAGTTGAAAAACGATAGGAAGACTGATGGATACCAACAGTTATTCGTTTAAATTAAGCCTGCAAGAAAATTAAACACGCAGACGATCTGAAGGAATTTATGATTTTGCAGGATTTTATGATCTATATCAGGTGAATTTAAAATGTAAAAATTGCCTTTATTTTGAGAAATGGCTCAGAGCATCTGTTTGCTGCTCAGTGTATCACATCTAAAGCACAAAGGACTCAATATCTAGATTAAAAACTGAACACTTTTAAATCAGTGTGAAGACTTTTCTATGTGGATGTAAATTAAAGGTCAATGAATGTAGTGACCAAAACTGACATAAAACAACTGCTGTGTATTATTACTGCAGGAAAAGCTTATAAGGCTTTAGAAAAGTCTAGAACTGCTAATGATAAAAGCGTCCACTTAAGTCAAAAGGCTGTTTTTTTGCTTTTCTATTTGCATGATAACAATTAGCCCTTCCTTGCAAAGCATTTAGGTGTTTGGAACAGAGTTTAGAGATGATTTCAACTGTTTTCTGTTTGGGGTTTTTCCACACCAGCTGTCAGAGACACAGAGGTCACAGAGCTGAGCAGCTGTCATTAAATGAAAAGATGGGAATGATGTCGCAGAATCCATTAACAAATTATTACAGAGAAAAATTGGGGGCTTTGCACTGATTATTAGTTGTATTTGCCAGTGAGAGTATTTCCAGAACACAATATAATGCCTCATGAGTGTTTTTAATTTAGGCTTCATTTCAGGATTATGTCCAAGTAACATTTCATGGCCAGGTGTAGATTCTAAGCTCACAAAGCAACGTCAACACAAGTGTAGTGTGACAGAATAAAAAGATGAGTGGTGAGTGGTTATGCTTTCCCATCTCTGCCTGCACATTAGAGGAGACTTTAATGGTGCAACTGATGCAGAAGAAGTAAATGAATTAGGTTTAAACTCACAGGAAAATCAGATGGTCCATACTCAGCCGAGGGTAGCCAGAAAGCTGTTCCCGTGGTTCTTTTCTGCTGAAAACAGACTGCATCTCCAACAATAACAACACACACCTTCAGGGGGGAATGATGGGATGTCATCGCTCCAGGCACAAATGCAGCCTGTTATTTATTATTCATCATAGGCTTGTTTCCTGATCAGAAATGGTGCTGAATGGCTTTAAATATGATCCCATTAAGAACTCAGCAGCAACTTCCTCCAGCTTTAGCAGCCTGTCAAACTGACACTAACCTGCAAGCCTCTAACCTAATGTCAGTAACCTCTGAATAGAACAATGGAAATCTGGCAACTGCTGCTGAATGTGTTTTGGTGAATTGTTGCCCTCTACTGTTTGCTTTTAGATGTGCAACAGGAAAACTACCATTGCACCACTACCATTCAAATGTTGGATGTACTCATGAACGAAGGCGAATCATTTGTCTGTTACATCTTAACCTTCTTGAATATTAGCAAATTGCACATGCACTGCAACTTTTTGCCCAACATTATGAGTCTTAATACATTTGTAATACGTGTGAATATAATTTAATGTATAAATCACAAGCCCTGGGGCAGGCTCCGGCCCCCGCCCACAACCCTGAAAGGAATAAGTGGCAGAAGATGAATCAATCAAGAGGTGGATGAATCCCTTGCTCTCTTCCACAGCAAGTCTTTTGTCCTGTTTCTCTCCCCTCACCCCCCAATCAGTCAGTGCAGATGGCTGCCCCTCCCTAAACCTGGATCTGATGAAGGTCTCTTCCTGTTAAAGGGGAGTTTTTCCTTCCCATTATCGCCAAGTGCTCGCTCAAAGGGGATCATCTGATTGTCGAGGTTTTCTCTGTATTTATGTGGGGTCTTTCCCTTACACGATATTTGGTGCTGGATGGATGGACGGATGGACGGACGGACGGGTGGATGAATGATGGTCACATACATAATAATCTTATACAATGTATGGAGACAGATATGGAGGCTGAGAGAGTTTGGGCATGTAGATATGTTGGACAAAGGATGTTGAATGATGCTGATGTAGTGAAGGAGGACATGCAGTGGGTGCGACACAAGTAGATGCTATGAATAGGGCGGCAGGGCGGACCAGAAGAGGAAGACTATAGAACATCTTAACAGTTTTTAAAGCAACCATAACGTTGATTGATGCAGTTTTATTGGCTTTAGATATGTACAAAGTGAGCAGTCGTAATATGTCACAGCTTATTAAATGGATTATGATTCTCTCCATCATGACAGCACCATGATTATTGTTAAGTTACAGCTAGATTTATTTAATGACTCAGTCATCAAACTGTCATACACTCTTAGTTCTCAAAGCTGCATAAAGCAAACTCTGATTATTAGCACATGCTTATAAATCTAAAAAAAAAAAAAAAGATAAAATGGAAATCTTAAGAACAACATCATCACTTTAAATCACTAGCTGCAACAGTTTATAAACTCCATTCCCATCCCATTATAGAAAATAAGCTTCTCAGTTTGCTCAGGAAAAAAAAAATGAGGGGTGACCTTTGATGGCATCAGCAGAACTGAAATTTAGAGAAGAACAATAAAAAGCATTAAAAATCTCTTTAAAGTTATTTAACAGAGCATGAAATAGCGTCAGAGCAGAGCTGTTCAGGTTCAGGCAAAGTCTTACCTTCCAGCGGTTGCCACACTCATTGCACAGAACAAATGTGGTCATTGGCTCATCAGCACTGCGTGTCTGCACCTAAAACACACAGACACACACACACACACACACAGCAGGTTTAACTGTAAACAAAACACCAAACTGAAAGGAAGCGGTTTGTACGACCTACAGTGAAGCTGAAACACTCCTTCCTCACTAGTACAGTGTATATCCCCCACTCTGTGACTGAAATACATCAATCTCATTATATTTATTTGAGCCACTATGTTCCCATATAACTCCCCAAATTATCAAATAGCATCGCTGAAGCTGATTTAAGCCCCAGCTCTAATACAGCCCCACAGCTTTCTTGTTTTTCTGTGGCATTCAAAAGAGAAACAGTTACTCTACAGGCTTTTCAGAACATCACAAACAACAGCAGTAAATAGCCGACTCAGTGCGGTCACATCGTGTGAAACAGCAAAAAATTTCTCATTATTATGTGATAACTAAAAGCAAACAGCTGGAGAAATAACTGCCCTATTACAACACCACCTCTCTGTGTGAAAAAGGCACAAACATCACAGCCTGCTTCACTCTGGAAACACATCGCTTTCACACGCTCACTCGCCTTAATGCCACCATTAGAGCCCTATTAGTCCTGTTCTCTGCTTTGCTCTGACACATGTGTGTACCTGGTTATAGGTGCAGTTTTTCTTCTTGCACTTGCCGCACTGCAGCAGGTCGGTGGTGGTGCCACCAGTTTTAGCCATCTGGTGTTCCCTGATGGCCTCCTGGGTGAGCACGTTCCTCAGCTGTTTCAGCTCGTCGCTGGCCATTTCCTTAATAAAGACGACATGATGTGTGATAACGAAAGAGGAAAGAAAAGGCAGGAATGTGCAAAGTGTTGCTCATTGCTGAGGAGAGGTGAACTTGCAGGGCTGTTGTACCTCAGCAGACATGGTGGCGATGCGGCGTAACTCGATGCTTCCTGCGAGGACATTTTTGCGAAGGCCTGGGTTCTTCGGGTCCTTCAAGTTGCTGATGCGGCTCCTCACTCGGTTCTTATACTTCATATCAGTGGCTTTTATCTCCTGGTAGATATGTGCGATCACACTGTCAAGGGCAAACTAATTCCTCCGAGTAGCATGCTTGATAACAGCTATAATGTTGAAACAAGATGCACTGAAAGAACTACAGTTTAATTAATCATAGTGCATAGTGGAGAATTATCAACTCTGAAGGATATGATCTTCAATCTCTGCTGCCATGCCCTCACAGTTAGCTCCAAATTCCCTGTAATCATCTGTGAAGTTCAGAAATTACATTTCATGTAAGTCAGCAGGCAGTCTGCAGCGCGTCTTAATGTGAATATTAAAACTGCAGCAATGATAACGTGCAGCCTAAGCCTCACTATCTGTGCGCAGGGCAGCTGCCAGCATCTCAATGCACTTGTCTCTGATGGAGTCTCCAGTGGCCAGGTGAGGGGACAGCGGACCCCCAGGAGAACTGAAGCTGGGTGACATGGGGCTGGTCGGGGTAGTGGGAGTTTTGGGAGCCTCGGATTTACTCTTTCTGTAAAAAAAAAAACAAAACAAAGATTTTTAGTGTCAAATTCATTAAATACGGATCAAAACGTTGTTGGTGCTGCACACCAGCCACACAAGTGCAGCTTTAACCTTTAGCAATAATTCATTTACTAACATCCATCATGTAAAGAACCCATCCTGAAACGCTCTGACTCATCAGTCCTTGAAAAAATATTAAAGAATGATGAATGTCAACACTGATAAAGAGGCTATTTGGAGTCGCTTGTTGCCACCCACTGAGTCCTCCCACGAACTGGCAGCTTGTGAAATAGGAGTGCAAAATAATAAGCATACAGTGCTGTGCAAAAGTCTTGAGCCACTACTCTACTCAACTTTTTTTTGTTTGTTAAGCTACTCAACACTGACCAATGAATCATTCAAGCATTTAAAAATGCACCTAACTCAAGAGATGAACCGTTGTTGTGGACCAATTTTAGACTACCGGTATATCACATTTTGATCCACTGTGCGATACCATACCTACGGCTTCATTTTCCAGCACGACAATGACCCCAAGCACAATGTCGAAACATATGTAGACAGAAAAACACACAAGGCCTCCCCAGAGCCCGAGCCTCAACATTACTAAAGCAGTGTGGGATCATCTTAGCAGAAAACAGAACAAAAGGCGCTTAACATCCAAAAAAGAGCTTTCAATGTCCTTCAAGAAGCCTGAAGAACAACTCTGAAGACTAGTTAAAGAAATGAGAAGAATGCTGCCTCAGAGAGTTCCTGCTGTTTTCAAGAATAAAGGTGATCAGACCAAATATTTACTTTCAAGCTAGCTAGAATCATATAGAATCCTATATTCTTTATATGCTGTAGTTCTATGAATGTTTGAATTTTCCATTTTCCTACCAATATAAATAATTGAGGGGTGGCACAAGACTTTTGCACAGTACTGTAAATCTACAGTGAATAGCCATCCTTACCTTATTTTGTACCCTGCAAGATAAAATCATCCTAAGAACCTGAGAAACATAATTAAATACCTTTCGATGCTGTCAGTAGAGGGCTTCCTCTGTAGAGGTCCAAGCTGAGGAGCCTTCGAGCCCTGAGACTCTCTCCTGTAATTCAAACTCAAGGTCATTTATGTTTTTCACGTGCAGAAGTACACAAAACTTTAACACCTGAGAGTTGATAGTTTGGTGAGCTTGTATTTAATCAGCACCGGTCGCTGTTATTTACCTTTCTCCTGTTAGCTTCTTTGCTGCTGGCGAGCTGCTCGTCTTTGAGTCAGTCGATTCCCGTCTAAGCAGTGAAACACTTTCAGTCAGTCTGGGTTTAATCATTTGGATTTCACATTTAAGTACTGGTGAGATTTAAACTGGTGCACAGAACTGATACCTGTCAGCTGAATGACGTTTCACAGGTTGGCCAGGCTTTGACTCACAGGAGTCCTTTCTGCAACAAAGGATTAGCATCACTAGCATCACATTTCATATAAGATAAGTGCACACACACACACACACACACACTTATGTTGTATTCTCAAACTTATTTCCTGGCTCCTGCACACCTGTGTTTGTCTTTTTTGGCCTCCAGGGTGGGCTTTTTGGGAGGGGGGGATTTAGAGTCTGATGAATCTTTCCTGACAAAAGGAAGAGTTTGTGTGTGATTTTTTTTAACCCGTCTGTGAACAATAAAACGAGAATGCATCCATCTCCCTTTGCTCTAAAATCCAACAGTCTTCACACAGGGAATGAACAGATATTTTCATGCAGATGACTTGCAAACCTTTCTCTTTTGGTTTCATCTGAATGTTTTCTAGACATTTTGGTATCCACTGAGTCTTTCCTGCAAAAAGAACACAGCTTTGGTACCAACACTGAACACCAGTGTTTTATGTAAAACCAAAGAAACAGATTTCTTAAGGCCACTGATCATCCAGAGACTGCAGCCAACTTGTTTTTTTTACATGAATGAGAAACAGAACCATTCCCAGATCCCAGACCTGTCTTTCTTCACATGATCTGACGTCTTTTTCTGTGGAGGAAGCAGCTTAGAGTCTGACTCCTTCCTGCTTTAGCAAATAAAAAACAGATTCAAATTCTGAGTCCGAATAAAATTGTTTGTTTTTTTTCCCCAAAAATATTTTCCCGTCTGTAACTCGTCTGATTCAGACCTGTCTCTCTCCTTCATTCCATCTAGAGAGGGCCGCTTCGTAGGAGGAGGAGGGTGAAGGTGAAGAGGAAGCGGAGGAAGAGGAGCGTTGGGGTCAGGAGGCTCTTTTCTAAATGAAAAGACAGCTCTGAGCTCAGATGAATCACTTCATAAACAGAGTGAATAATGACAGAAAATCGTTACGGCACTGCAAAGAAAGTAGGCATGCAGAGCCTGACCTTAAGGGAGGAGGAGGATGTAGGTGAAGAGGAAGAGGAGCAATCGGAGCGTTTGGATCCAATGGAACTTTCCTGAAAATCAGCACTTGTTTGAGATTTTTTAAAACTCTCTCGTTGTTTTCTGTCTAACATCACTCAAGAACTTCAGAAACATGCACCAAACCACATCTGACCTCTCCTTCTTTACTTCCACAGGAGGTCGTTTAGTTGGTGGAGAAGGAGGTCGGGGAGCGTGAGGGCGAGGAGGTCGGGAGGAAGAGTCTTTGCCATCCTTCCTGGACATATGTCACAACAGCAGAGGTCAAAAGGCCACCTGACGATGCGGCATGCTGTTCACAAAAACACACCTGAGTGACTCTTGTCAGCATGCACCATGCACAGCAGGAATCCTGTTAGGCCACGTGGAACACACTGATGCATGTTAAGTCATTAGCAGCAACCGCGCGCTCTGCAGCTCAGGCAGCACAAGAGTCCAAACCTGTCTTTCAGAAAATCCATGGCGGGGCGTTTGATGGGAGGAGGCCGAGCGGGTCGAGGAGGAGAGGGGAAACGGGTGGGATAGAGCACACTGCTGTCCAGCACACCTCTCCTGAAATATACAACAGAGTCTGAAGCTCTGCTGGATCTTACTGGGAAGTGTTGTGCGTTTTTCTGAGCCTCTACGTTCTCACCTTTCAAACAAGGGCTTGTGGGGGTCAGTGGGTCTCTCTCTCTGAGGCTCGCTCAGAGGTCTCTCCCTCTGAGGTGTGCTGGTGAGCCTCTCGTGGTTGTTTTCTTCTCTCGGTTTGTCCTTCCTCATCTCATCTGCAGAGCTGCACTTCTTGAGCTCCGTGGGGTTTTTCTCCTTTTTGAGCTCTTCCACGTGCCTCGTCTTTTTTGGTTCCTCTAATGGTCTCCCTCTTCTCGGCTCCGACTTGTGCTTCTCACCCCGTGGGTCTTGCGCAGGCTTCGGCTTCTTGTTATCGACCTCCACGTTGGGATTTTCTGGGGGTGCTTGTTTCTCTTTCCTGATTTCCTGCAGATGTTTTGCATTTCCAAGGTCCTCCAGGTGCTTTTCTTCCACGAGGTCGTCAGCATGTCTCTTTTTGATTTCATGGCCATCATTGTGTTTGTCTTTCCTGATTGTATTAGCGTGTTTTTTGTTCTGATCGGAGTCTTGTTTTAGTTTGACTTCCTGCTCGCTGTGACTAAGAGAGAAAAAAGAGAAGCACTGTTTTTACCTCTATGCAAGAATTACCACAGTGAGTGTTAGAGGTGGAAGTGGGTTGAAAAAATGGCAAATATATTAACACGAACATGATTTAAATCACTGACAAGCACTGAAGTAGTCAGTGCTTTCATGCAGTTAAACAGTGAAGGACACTTCATAGCGTCTCAGCTTTTACCCTACATATGCACTTGTAAACAGTGCTGCCTTGCAGAACAAAACAACATCACTGTGCTGACCTCTATATTCTATAATCTATCCCATCTAACATGGAAAAATAGCTTTAAGCATAGACTTTAAAAGATATATGTAGCAAGGTTATTATAGAGGTAAACTAAAAACTATAAAATTAAATTAAATTAATTAAAAGTAGACTCTTGAAAAAGAAAAACAAACTAGCTGATTTGCTATAGTGTACTTGGGAAACTATCCATCTTCTTATTCAATTCGGGGTCACCAGGGTGAGCAGGTGGGGTCTCACGGGCAGGCTTGTGCCTATTCCAGCCGTCACACGGTGAAAGGCAAAGGGACAGGTCACTAGCCGACCACAGGACTAACACAAAGAGACAAACAACCATTCACACCTATGAGTAAATCACTAAAATTGGGGAAATCACTGTGGGAGGAAATAAGAGAGAACCCACCCAAACACAGTGAGAACATGCAAACTCCACACAGTTAGGTCGGACCACACAGTGGAGTCGAACCCAGGACCTTCTTGCTGTGTGGCAATAGTGCTAACCACCGGACCATCATCCTGCCCGATGTCAAAAAAAAAACTAACTAAAGAGAAACAAAGAAGGAAATATTTTTAGTTTTAGTCAGTCGGGTCACATCCCAGCAAACATGATTGACACCCCAGCGTCATCTCCCTTCTCAAAATTAATCATGACACCAAAAACTGAACAGCAAGCAGGTGGAAGTTGATGTTGTTCACAAGTACAATACAGGTCCGACCATCTCTTACAAAGTAAAACATATATAGATCCGATTAACACATCTGTCTTTGTTTTCTCTTTAACAACAACTCATTTGGTTAGTACACGATTGTGACGTCTTCTCCACACAGACAATATTACCAAAACCTGTTTTTAAAGAAAATTTGTTAGGTCCTAAGCAGCATCAGGAGCCTGGGACTTGTTAAGCATGAAGTCAATTAGCTCAACAGAAACATAAAGGGTAAAACCTTGAGTCTTAGTCACTCCTGAACTGAGATTCTTCAGTCTAATAAGGACGTCTGAGCAACGCTGAAGCTTTACCTAACACAGACGTCAGACACAGACATTACTGATCATTATTAACATCAAGCGAGGCTTTCAGGGACACGTTTACTTAGACACAGGATGTCTGCATAACTGTGAGTCACCTGCCCTCACAAAGAGCAAGGTTTGTATTATATACCTGTTCAGAACTTCCTAAATTTGGACTCTAACAAATATCCACTGGCAGCAGGTGCTTTTGGCTGATTTCCCTTGTTTAATTTAGCACAACGTTTTTACACCAGATATCCTTCCTGACACAAACCTGCCGTCTATCCAGGCTTTTAGACTGGTACAACGAGCACGCTAGCCTGTGTTTGCCTGAGACTGGGTTTCAAAACAGGGATCCTTCACACGTAACCACTACACCATGGACCCACCATATTGTGATATTTAAAAACACTAACGATAACCCAGGATTAAAACATCTTCAGTGAAAGTGAAACAAGCAAAACCAAACAAGAACCTACCTGACACTAAACTGAATTACGAAATAGAAAAAAAAAACAACGAGTCTGACATGTAGCCCTTAAGACATCATCATCATCCACTGATTTGTGGTCTCCCATCTACGGTGGCCCCGAGAGGTCAAACCCACCGAAACTTAAGAAAACACCAGCTAACAGAAAAATGCTGGAAAAGCAGACAAAACACAGCAGAATTGGGAAAAAAATCCACAATTGAAGTGTTTCTGGGGGCACAATAACATCACGGACCAGCTGCAGAAGTAGAAACCAAAACGTGTGAAGGATCGCAGTGAGACACGCTTAAAGAAGTAGAGGATTCATCGCTGTTGTGAGGGAGGAAAAGACGCAGGTAATGTGTTTTAATCACATTATTCATGTAATACTTTAGATACATATTTGCTGTTGTGTTTTGTGTGCTTTCGAAGCATTTTTTTAATTAGCTGTTGTTTTCTTAATTTGTTCGTTGGAACTCTCAGGAGCACCATACCCATCTTTCTTTCTTGTTGGTGAGTCTGCACGTTAATATGGTATCAATCTGTCAGTCACAATGCAGAATAACCTGATTCAGTCGTGTCTATTCACAACAACTGACACCCCAGTGCACTTTATATGGTAAGGTAAAGAACCTACAATAATGCATGGAAAATCCCAACAATCAAATCATCTCCTATGAGTAAGCACTTGCCAACAGTGGGAAGGAAAAAGTAAGAGGGACCTGCTGGGGGTGATGGGGGAGAGAGACAGTCCAAAAAAAGAGAAAGGCCGAGTCCAATTCATGAGATTTTAACTTGTTACTGAGAACATAAAATAATTTGGAAAATATATCCGGGGGTAATAAATCGTCCCACAGACTTCTGGAGTCGCCCCCTGCTGGCTGTTAGAAAGAATGACGGTGATAGAAAAATTATTAAAGTTATGTAACACGCTTTGCAGTAAGCTGAAGAGTGTATCTCTCAATGTCTCTCTCCATCTGTGCTCTTCTCAGGCTTTGTTGTGGCTACTCTGCTATCTGTTATCCAAAGCAGACAGAATCATGTTCAGTACAAGGATGCCAAGTAACTGTTAACAATAAAAAAAGTGGATAACATTGGAAAAAGCGTATAAATGAAACTCTGCCCTGCTTTTGCTTCCTTGCAAGTAAAATGAACACGTTGGAGCTCACTACTCTGTGTGTTTCACTTCTTACGAGAACTGTTCTATCAGAAGGTTTAACACTTTTATGTGCAGTTTATCATTAAAAGAAGTCTCCCTATTTAAAGTTATGATGCTACCTAAAGGATAAAATGTGACATTACAGTGGCTCACAAGTCTGGTCTGTCCTTAATGTCATTAAACACCCCAAACTGTTTGCAGCTGCCCCTCACTGAGCCTGGTTCTGCTGGAGGTTTCTTCCTGTTAAAAGGGAGTTTTTCTTTCCCACAATTGCCAAGTGCTTGTCAAAGGGGTCATTTGACTGTTGTCTTATTGTAGAGTTTTGAGGCAGCTCCAGTTGTGATTCAGCACTATGCAAATACAACTGAACTGAATTAAATCGTCTGAATGTAGATCAGCCAGGCAGTAGATTACCTTGAAATGTTATTTGAACTTTAAACATTTCAATGCCTTTTTTTACAAAGCTGTTGTCACTTTTAGCAGAGAGTTATTTTTCAAGGTGTTTTTATGAATGCGAAGAAAATACTTTTGTTCCAGTGCACTGCAGAGCCACACACACACACATCATTACGGACCTGACAGCAGGCAGGCACAGCAGGTATGCGGACATTAACCAGAACTTCACTTCATAATGTGTGTGTGCTCTTTGTATTAAATGTCACGTTAAGTGTACCTGTGTAGTTTCTGTGTAACCGCTGTAAAACCACTGACCTGCTCTGCGTCTCCGAGGGAGAGCTGTTTGGAGAAGCTGCCGTTTTGCTGGAGTTCAAACCATTCTTGGTCTCAGACGATTTCTCGGGATGAGAGCGGCCAGAGTCTGCATGAGTGCGTGTTTTGGAGGAGAAATCATATCAGCAAATCAGACTCCGTGCTGATGTATTGACTGCACAAGCAACCATTTCACCGCTGTGGAAACACTGTAGTATGCATGTAAATCAGTGTGTGTACCCAGAAGTCTTTTCCAGTCTTTAATGAGGACTTTTGCCAAAGCAATCACTTCTTCATCTGTGCAGTGCTTCCTGATACCATTAACAGACATTCCAATTCTCGTCTCCTGAAGCCAACATAGACACACGGGTTAATTATTTTTCTTTTTTCCACATTTCCCCAGGATGATCAGCAAAATTAAAATTTAACCCACCTGTAGAAGTTTGAGAGTCATATTGACGCCTTTCAGCTCCTTCAGCAGGTCAATGGCGCCCTCCTGTATTCACCAAACAGTGACATCGTTACTTGCAACCCCCTAACTCTTGAAAGGGTTCATTTAGAAATGCGTAATAACAGTGTAACGCACAGATCTTAACCTTTCAAAAAAGAAAGCGCAATGTGGTTAGCAAACAAGAACACTTTCACTTCTTTATTATTATTTTTTCATTAGCACTCGATGGCATTTTTACAACATTAGATCCACTGTTTTGCACGGCTGTTTACTCCGATTACAGCTGGTCGCATTATCTTGTGCAGCCCCCTAACTGTGCAGGAGCGACGCGAACAATGTCGTGTTTGCAGATTCAGTCACAACACGAGCACGGCCTTACGCCCACAGGCCGCGGTGTTTACTTTCTGTTCTGCGCACTTCTATGTCAGTTAAACTCGCTAAGCATTTTCAGAAAGAGAGAGAAAAAAAGCTTTTGACAAACACAAAAGAGCTGGGCTACACAGCAGAGCTGCACACTGGCACTGAAACGGTCCTGCAAGAGAAATACACGCAAACCCACGAACACCTGTTGATCGTTTGTTACGGTCAAGCTCGCGCTTCACTTCTGCACACTTTCCAAACACACCGAGTCAGCAGGAACCAAACTCGTGTTTAACAGAAAAGAAGAGGACCCCATTTTAATTTATGGAAAAGTCTACTGCAGGCCTTCTGCGCAGCGCGAGGTGGCGGGACAACGCGCCACCTGTGGGTGTCAAAATATAGTCTCACCGTGTTATTTCTAGACACCATCTTGTCCAGTTTTTTTGCAATCCGGATGAGATCTTCCTCTCGAGTCATCGCTGCATTTAGTCGTCTAAAGACCGATCGGTTGCGCCAAATGGATACTTATTTTAAAAAAGAAAAAAACTCCCGAGAAACAGAAAAGTTTGTTTCTGCTACAGGTCGGACTTTACGCGCGACGCACTCCATTCAGCCGAGAGGCGTGTCCTGCGGAGGGGTCCCAGCTGACCTGCTCCACAAATGACAAACTAAATATAGACACAGTTGTAGACCCGTGGACAACAGGGATGACTGAAGTTTAGTGTGAGAGATTTGACTTTTATTTTAAAAATCAACTTTATTTTGTCTTATCATGCTTTGCTCTCCTGTGGCTCCTTAGATTTCTCTACACCCCGGACGGATTATATCACAAAATGATCTCTCTTTAAGATTTTCCAGCAAAAACGAGGTCACTGTGTAATGATTAATCTTTCCTACACTGAAGGCAGAACTCGGGCAACTGCTGCTGTGCCAAAGAGCAGCCCGACACTAAGTCACCGTTTACCGCCTGTTTCTTTCTTTGTTAGTTACTTCATTTTTTGTAACACGGAACAAGGTCACCTCGAACACTAAATCAGACAACAATTTCACTTTCTCTCACAAAATGGGGAAAAAACACGTCCTGAAAAGTGTGTCTATGTCACGGCCACCAGAGGGTGGTGTGATATAAGTCGACATGAGAATTAACTTTCGTTTTGCACTGAAAGCCACGAACCTTCGTGTTTGCTTCTGTTTGTCTTGCAGTGGACCTAACATTAAGATCTGATAGTTTTCTTCTTCGTCTTCTCGAGGAAGCGAGAAAGAAACAGAAAAGCTTCCAGTTCGGTTCCAATTGAACCGAATAGTCAGCCTTTACATTCATACATGTTTTATAAAAGTAACAGCCGATGTCTCACACTGCGTGCTCTCCTATAGAGAAATAATGCTTATTCGATAAGTACTGACTTTCTATAGTTATGTTGTGTTTAAAAAAATAGTGAATAAGGCAAATCAATCTTATGAGAAAAATGAAGGTTTTCATCTTTTTTTTTTCTTATGAGAAAACATTTGTGGAAGTTAGCAGGGGTCAAACTCATTTTACTCCTTTGATCTTTACTTTGATCTTATTGCGTAGAACCAGAGAAACTTGTCTTTCTGTCAGTCTGAAGGTGTTTAAATACACATTTAAGGCCATTTACAGTAATATAAGAAAGATAAGTGCAAATTTATAATAATAAGAAGAAGAAGCAGAAAAATAAATTTTTTAAAAGCACCTTTCAAGACACCCAGGGACACTTAACAATAGAATAAAACACATAGTAGAACAAAAAATGAAGAACAATTTTTAAAAACTTTCAACAGTGCATCTCAGTTTTTCTACACGATGAAGAAATGCTGCTGCGGTAACTGTAAGAAATCTGTCATCACAAAAATCTAAATGTGTAAAATTACATTTCATTATGTTAGATTTGATAGCAGTGAAAAAAATGTTTCCAAAGTTTATGCCCTCCTTCACATTTTCCAAATGTGGCCTTATGTTTGACACCCCTGATTTAAAGGGTGAATGCCTAAGACATTTTCCAAGAACTCCACAGACACAATTAGTGAAATTATATTAGCACAATATTCATCTAAATTTATATTGTTAAAGTCGAAGAAATTACTTGAGCGAGGGATTTCTTTATATCCTTGTGTTTGTATCTCCTGCTGTGACAGCTTGTGATAGCAATCAACATTTCTTTCAGAGGGAAATAGAATAGCCAGATACTCCCACAGTCCAACAGACACTGAGACCAGATACAATTAAGATCCTAGAGATGTGTCCCCCCCCACTGTGGGAAGCAAAGGCATGACACACAATATGCATGCATCAGTTAGTTTTAGAAGTTAGATTAAATGTCAGAGGGATGAAGAAAGTCAGATAGTTTAGATCTCTCTGCCTCTCATCCAAAATATATTCATAGCCAGCAGTTTATAGGGACACAGTTTATGTAGACACCAGTGCCGACTTAATTGTATATCATTACAGAACAGCAATGGTTGGAAAACTGAAATGCCTGCCTAAAGATAAAGTCTAACCAGTCGGGGGTTGTTGGGGGGTTTTATGTTTTCAAATATCAAGTATATGAAGTATAAAATATGAAGGGCCCATTAATCCAGAAGCAAAGTGTGACGGTCTTGTTTGTAGAGCAGGGATTTTAAGATAACTGTGTTAATGACCGCAGGTGAAAGTGCAGACTAAGAGCTCATTATCTCCTTACAGAGCTCTTACACAACAGGCTGAGAGTACAACACACCCCTGCCTCCGTGCCTCAAGACAGCAATCTGTCTGGCAGGTAACGACCGAGGCGGCCAAGTCGAGAAGTGGGACAGTTCACTGTGAGGTAACAGAGGAAGCAGGCCAAGAGGAAGAAGCAGTGATCAAGCAACATCCTTTAAATCCAAGCACTAAACGGTTCACTTTTGGGGTGGTGGAAAGGAAAGGTGGATGTGCTGACCCCTTTCTCAGATGGTTGACTTAAATGAACTTTCTGATCTCTTCATTCTTAGGAAAAGTCCAACGTTCTCCTTGTTTCTTTAGTCTTTTTCTCAAACCTTAAATTAGGCAAATGCGCTAAATATTACCTTCTTAACATCCGCCTTGTCTCCAGCAGCAAATTGAGCGCTAGAGTTAAGGTTAAGCCGTGTTTCAGATCTTCTGTTGTTTGCTTTTCTGTGCACCTATGATAAATTTGTGAAAATGCAAAGTGAATTGACACAAGCAGGACCAAAAACAAGTGAGGGCAGTAATGAGGAGGTGTTGATGGGAAATTAATGAATACCATTAAAACCATTAATACCATGAAACCGTTATAAGAAGTATAATAAGTTATAATCATTTTAACCATGGACAGCCCTTCTGCCTCCACAAACATGCATTAGAAGTATTGCAGCATGCTGCATGCATTTTCTCTTCATCTGTAGCAAATAACATCGAGGTGTTCCAGTTTTGGATTTAAATCTTTATAAAACAGGCAAATTTTAAACTTCAACCAATAAACTTTAAACTCATCTATTTTAACCCTTACATACTGTTCAGTTCAAATCTGTAAAAATACCCTAAATTTATTTCTTTTTACCTGGAAATTTGATGTTTTTTCTTAAATATACCCAAAATTTATAAACATGAAAACTTTTTTTTTTTTTAAATTAAGACCCTTGATGTGCAGCTGTTACAGATGTTTATACACTTAAGCCGTTCTAGGTCAAATTTTATCCCGTATCTATTCAGATGTATTTTAAATCCACCAGTGTGGGTCAAGGAAAAAATGATGATTTCAGAGAATTTGAAACTGTAAAACTGTACGTGTGTGTGTGTGTGTGTGTGTGTGTGTGTGTGTGTGTGTGTGTGTGCTTTTTTATGGGACAATAGTGATAGAGTTCAAGGAGAACCTTGTTACTGTCAAGGTAAATGTTTGTGTTCCCACCACATTAGCCCAGGTTCCCACAGACACAGGCACCTGCTGCTCTTTAAAGGATCATGGGGGAATATCCAAACAGCTTAACAGTAAAACAGCACAGGAGCGATGGTTTATGGCACACATAAGAAACATGACATCTGAAAAAGGGTGGCATGGTGGCACTGCCTAACAAATCATGAGTAGGACCTTTCTGTGTGGAATTTGCGAGTTTAACGCATGCTAGAGTGCCTGGAGTGGGTCTCCTACAGGTATTTGGGGTTCCCCCACAGTCTGGAGCAATGTGTCAGGTTAACTGCCACACTTGTGAGGTGCTGCTGCATGAATGTATGATTAAAAAGTAACTTGCAGTTAAAAGTGTTTTGAGTAGTCGGTAGGACTAAAATGATGCTCTATAAATGCAAATACATTACAAGTACAAGAATCCACTGTGCAAGAAAATATTTTAACAATGAACAAATTATTTGCAATTTAATTGTTTATTTATTTGGATCCAACTGAGAATAAAAAATTAGATCAAAGGAATGGTTAGAGAAGTCCTAATATTATAACGGCACCTGTGCTGCCATTTCAGTGATTGCGGGAAACATGCAAATCCCACACAAGCAACATTTCCTATCAGTGCTTTGAATGCACAGACTAGCCTGGAATAGGTATTGTTTGTGCTCTAAGTGTTGATGAATATTAAATTAACAATTATGATACATGAATGAGGATAGTGTTAAATGGTTTTAGTGGCTATATGTGGTCATATAATAAATCCCAGCAGTTCCAGAATGTGCTTTTCATTTCCCCTCTTAACAAAATATAATGAAATCATTATGCCTGCATATTTTCATGTCTTACGTAAAAAAGAACATTGTGTTGTTCAAAAGAAGACATTTTTCTCCAAAACCCATTAAATATACCCTTTCTTCTCATCACTGTATACCTACTTATATATTCTAAATAGATCTGTATTTCAAACTTTGATATGAGGGAAATTTTGTTCTGAGTTAAATCTGACAATATTTACCAAAAGTGGTTTCTGGTTTGTTGTTGTGAGCCTTTAATCAAGCTTCTAATGTACAGTTTTCAATGTGGTGAAGCAAAAATGAAAACTGTGGCCAGGTGAGGAGAGTTATTCTTATCCATAGGGCCCTGTGTTGTTCAGCTTAGTCTTCCAGTTGTGGAGTTGTTACCGACTGTGTTTAGGGATGGGGGGGTTGCCCTGGAGCAGATGCAGGACACACTGGAGAGATTACATCCTTTAGGCTTAGGTACACGTTGGAACCCCCACCCACCCAAGTGAGATGTCAGTTTTCGAGCAGATGGAAGAAAGTGCAGTGTATAACTGCACTTGAGTTTAAATAGACAAAGAGTCACCACAGATCCAACAGGGAACATCCAACAGTCTGCTTTCCTCTCCGTGCACCTCGCCCAGCACTGGTGTCTTTGCCAGTCACAGACCAGAGACGCCAGGCCTGGGCAATTATGGCAATTTTTGGATGACATCAGACCAGAAAATGAATGATTTCATTTAGCTGTCAATTTTTTTTCTGGATCTGCTGTAGGATGCAGAACCTATAATAGAGCATGTCAAAACAAAGTGGCAGAAATGTTTAGGCGTTCACATCTGTAGTTGGCTGGAAGGTAATCCCAGGCTGGTGGGGCTGGTTTGTCTGTTAATAATGACCAGTGTTCAGTGGCGGCACTCGCAAAGAGTAGGCTCGAGCTCCCTGAGAGGTTGGACCACCCAAAGA